ACCAAATATTCTAACAATCAATTAGTTTGAGATCATTTTGAGCTCTCTATCTCCCCCTGGTGGCTGACTGCAGTATAGACTCTCTCTCTCTTTCTGTCTCCCCCTGGTGGCTGACTGCAGTATAGACTCTCTCTCTGTCTCCCCCTGGTGGCTGACTGCAGTATAAACATAGATAATATGGTGATTGGAGTACTGACCGATCTGAAGCAGAGCCAGCTGCTCTGACTGAAGCTCAGTGAACCTCCAAACTCTGCAGGAAGCTGCCGGAGCTCCACATGTTTCTGAAGAGACTTCAGAGAGCTCAACACCTCCACCTGCACACACACACACACACACACACACACACACACACACACACACACTGAGCATGGGCAGGACAGTCGCAGTGACTCAAACTGACACACAGTCAGGTGTTAGTTACCTGTGTGACTGCAGGTTTGTCCAGACGTACTGACGAGTCCTTGTTGACCAGCAGTAACACAGAGTGGATGGAGAGTGCAGTGTTCTCCTGCACACACACACACACACACACACACATATTAGTACACAGTCTGGGTAAGAGCTGCAGGGGTCAGAGGTCAGACTGTGGTTTATTATCAGTTTGAGTAACTGTCGCCCTCTGCTGGTCATTGACCAATCAGCAATCAGTGTGGTGAGGGTCATGTGACCCTGACATTACACTATATGATTGGATATATGAATGCAGTGTGCTGGAGCTGTGACTGATGTTATGGTTGTATAAAGAAACAACTGCACTGATCAATATGTTATCAATAGGTTTATATCATCAATGGATCCATTGTCTGCCTGACTGCCACTCACAGGTTCTTTTAGCTTATGAATACTTTTATCTATTAAATAGTTTGATTATACTCTATGGCTACAGTTTATCCTGACAGCTGACTCACCCATATAAATTAAATACATATACATATTTATTTTACTACAACACAGAAACATCTTCTTCAGTATCAGAGACGTTCTTCAGTATCAGAGAGACGTTCTTCAGTATCAGAGACGTTCTTCAGTATCAGAGACGTTCTTCAGTATCAGAGTGACGTTCTTCAGTATCAGAGTGACGTTCTTCAATATCACAGAGACGTTCTTCAGTATCAGAGAGACGTTCTTCAGTATCAGAGATGTTCTTCAGTATCAGAGACGTTCTTCAGTATCAGAGACGTTCTTCAATATCACAGAGACGTTCTTCAATATCACAGAGACGTTCTTCAGTATCAGAGAGACGTTCTTCAGTATCAGAGAGACGTTCTTCAGTATCAGAGACGTTCTTCTGTATCACAGAGACGTACTTCAGTATCAGAGACGTTCTTCAGTATCAGAGATGTTCTTCAGTATCAGAGACGTTCTTCAATATCACAGAGACGTTCTTCAATATCACAGAGACGTTCTTCAGTATCAGAGACGTTCTTCAGTATCAGAGATGTTCTTCAGTATCAGAGACGTTCTTCAATATCACAGAGACGTTCTTCAATATCACAGAGACGTTCTTCAGTATCAGAGAGACGTTCTTCAGTATCAGAGACGTTCTTCAATATCACAGAGACATTCTTCAATATCACAGAGACGTTCTTCAATATCACAGAGACGTTCTTCAGTATCAGAGAGACGTTCTTCAGTATCAGAGAGACGTTCTTCAGTATCAGAGACGTTCTTCAGTATCAGAGTGACGTTCTTCAGTATCAGAGTGACGTTCTTCAATATCACAGAGACGTTCTTCAGTATCAGAGAGACGTTCTTCAGTATCAGAGACGTTCTTCTGTATCACAGACACGTACTTCAGTATCAGAGTGACGTTCTTCAGTATCAGAGTGACGTTCTTCAATATCACAGAGACGTTCTTCAGTATCAGAGAGACGTTCTTCAGTATCAGAGACGTTCTTCAGTATCAGAGACGTTCTTCAATATCACAGAGACGTTCTTCAATATCACAGAGACGTTCTTCAGTATCAGAGAGACGTTCTTCAGTATCAGAGACGTTCTTCAATATCAGAGATGTTCTTCAGTATCAGAGTGAGGTTCTTCAGTATCAGAGTGACGTTCTTCAATATCACAGAGACGTTCTTCAGTATCAGAGAGACGTTCTTCAGTATCAGAGACGTTCTTCTGTATCACAGAGACGTACTTCAGTATCAGAGACGTTCTTCAGTATCAGAGATGTTCTTCAGTATCAGAGACGTTCTTCAATATCACAGAGACGTTCTTCAATATCACAGAGACGTTCTTCAGTATCAGAGAGACGTTCTTCAGTATCAGAGACGTTCTTCAATAATACAGAGACATTCTTCAATATCACAGAGACGTTCTTCAATATCACAGAGACATTCTTCAATATCACAGAGACGTTCTTCAGTATCAGAGACGTTCTTCAGTATCAGAGAGACGTTCTTCAGTATCAGAGACGTTCTTCTGTATCACAGAGACATTCTTCAATATCACAGAGACGTTCTTCAGTATCAGAGACGTTCTTCAGTATCAGAGAGACGTTCTTCAGTATCAGAGACGTTCTTCAATATCAGAGATGTTCTTCAGTATCAGAGACGTTCTTCAGTATCAGAGAGACATTCTTCAGTATCAGAGAGATGTTCTTCAGTATCAGAGAGACGTTCTCTATCTCTCTGTGTCTGTCTGTCTGTATCTGTCTGTCTGTATCTGTATCTGTCTGTCTGTCTGTATCTGTCTGTATCTGTCTGTCTGTATCTGTCTGTGTCCGTCTGTCTGTATCTGTCTGTGTCCGTCTGTCTGTATCTCTCTGTGTCTGTCTGTCTGTATCTGTCTGTCTGTATCTGTATCTGTCTGTCTGTCTGTATCTGTCTGTCTGTCTGTCTGTATCTGTCTGTATCTGTCTGTCTGTATCTGTCTATATCTGTCTATATCTGTCTGTCTGTATCTGTCTGTGTCCGTCTGTCTGTATCTGTCTGTCTATATCTGTCTGTCTGTCTGTATCTGTATCTGTCTGTATCTGTCTGTATCTGTCTGTCTGTATCTCTCTGTGTCTGTCTGTCTGTATCTGTATCTGTCTGTATCTGTCTGTCTGTATCTGTCTGTCTATATCTGTCTGTCTGTATCTGTCTGTGTCCGTCTGTCTGTATCTGTCTGTCTGTATCTGTCTGTCTGTATCTGTATCTGTCTGTCTGTATCTGTCTACCCCTCCTGTTGCAGACTCACCTGCAGGGACCTGAGGGCGGAGAACAGGGCGGGAACCGGAGCGGCGCTGCGGGCGTCCACCAGCACCGTCAGCCCGGACGCTCGCGCCTCCTTCCTGTTCCAAACAGGAAATGATGTCAGAGGAGGAACAGTGTACAGTTAGCTGAGTGAGTGGGAGGTGTGAAGGAGGCGTGGCTTGTACCTGAGGGTGGAAGTGTAGTAGAGCAGGAGGCGGAGCAGCGTGGCACTGTCACAGTCGGGGTTCGACCACATGACGTTCCCGGTACAGACGGTCAGCAGAGCGCGGCCACTCCTGTCGCTGGTTCCTGAGGAGAGACAGGAATGATGCATTCACAGACATCAGGAAACTCCAGCTGCTGTCAGTGTTACACTGTGAACTCTGTTATCTGAATACAGTTTCATAGAGTTTACTTCTCAATGTGTTTTGGTTTTTATCCATTAAAAAGTAATAAATGTTAAAAAATATATATACTGCGTGAGTATCGCGTACACTGCGTGAGTATATAGTATATAGAGCGGGTCGTCCACTAATCAGAGGGTTGTTGGTTCAATCCCCAGCTCCTCCTACTACATGTCCTTGCGCAACATACTGAACCCCAAACTGCTCTTTGGGTCCTTTTTTGAGTCTTTTTACCATTCAATGTGTACACACTGTGCAGTACGTGAACATGAGGGTTGTGTTTGTCACCTGGCATACAGACAGCTCCAGAGCTCAGCAGCACACTGTAGAAGCTGGACTGGGAGGACTGGGTGAGCTGTACTGGGACTGTGGGAGCAGCTGACTGGTTCTGCTCTGGAGAGGCTGCTGGTAGTTCTGGTTCTGTTGGACTTGGACCAGTAGACAGACTGACATGTGACTGGACAGGAAGCAACTCACTGCTGAGGCCTGTGGACAGAAGACACACAGATGTTTGTGTCATTATTACCTAATATTAACTAATATTAACTGTCATTTACTAAAATGAACTAATATTAACTATCATTAACTAATATTAATATTAGTTATCATTAGGGCTGGGCGATAAATCGATTTTATCGATTAATTCGAATTTGTAGTTAAACACGATTTATTTTTAGTTAAAATCGGTCTCCTCTTGAACTTCCACAACACCAGCGCTCCCTTTGGGCTCCCGTAGGTCAGAGTGCACTGACCCCTCCCCCCACCTTTCCACAGATAAACACAACATGGCAGCAAGCCAGGATGAGCTCGTCCCCAAAAAGGGCACAGTGTCGTCGGTTGTTTGGAACTGGTTTGGTTTTGTGGCGTCCGACAGCGAACAAACCACGACCCACTGCAAAGTTTGTTTGAAAGCTGTTGCAACCAAAGGTAGCAGTACGACGAATTTATTCCAGCACCTCAAGCAGAGGCATGCAGCCGAGTGGGAGAAATGTTGCTCTCTGTGAGATATACAGGATCGCAGCCTTCATTTGTAGTGTGTTTTTAAGAAGGACATTTTTTTTTATTAAAATCGTAAATCGGGTTTGGTGTGAAAAAATCGGATATTTTATTTTTAAGCCATATCGCCCAGCCCAAGTTATCATTAACTAATATTAGTTATCATTAACTTATATTAACTAATATGAACTATCATTAAATACTATTAACTAATATGAACTAATAGTAACTATAATAACACATATTAACTAATAGTAACTATAATAACACATATTAACTAATATTAACTATAATTTACTAATACTAACTAATACTAACTAATATTAACTAATATTAACTTATATTAACTATCATGAACTAATATTAACTAATATTACCTAATACTAATTAATATGAATTAATATTAACTACCATTAACTAATATTAACTACCGTTAACTAATACTAACTAATATTAACTAATATTAACTACCATTAACTAATACTAACTAATATTTACTAATATTTACTACCATTAACTAATATTAACTATCATTAACTAATATTAACTAAGATTAACTATCATTAACTAATATTAACTAAGATTAACTACCATTAATCCTGTTTATTAATCTGTTTATCAGCGCTGGTACAATGTGTTTATTCCAGTAACATTAAACCAGTTCAACCAGCAGTCTGCGCTACACAGTTTGTACTGGAGAGCAGAGGAGGAGGAAGGTTAAAGGGAAGAGGAGGAGGACTAATTCAACCAATCAGAGCAGGAGCAGGAGCAGGAGGAGGAGGAGGAGATAAATGAGGACAGAAAGAGTCGGATGGTTTGTGGGATGAAAAGCAGGATAGGGAAAAAGATTGAGGAGGAGAAACAGGTTTCTGTACCTTCAGTCTGAAGTTCTGCAGTTCTTCCTCCACCAATCTCCTCACAGCTGCACTCCTCCTCCTCGTCCTCCTCGTCCTCCTCCTCCTTCTTTTCCTGTCCATTTTCCAACCCCTCGGGTTCAGTCCAAAGTGAGTCCTGATCCATCGCTGGCGTGTTGGACTCCTCAGAGTGTGTTTGTAGTGCGTTGTTTTCAGAATAAGAGTCCTCAGAGTGTGTTTGTAGTACGTTGTTTTCAGAATAAGAGTCCTCAGAATGTGTTTGTAGTGCGTTGTTTTCAGAATAAGAGTCCTCAGAGTGTGTTTGTAGTGCTTTGTTTTCAGAATAAGAGTCCTCAGAGTGTGTTTGTAGTGCGTTGTTTTCAGAATAAGAGTCCTCAGAGTGTGTTTGTAGTACGTTGTTTTCAGAATAAGAGTCCTCAGAATGTGTTTGTAGTGCGTTGTTTTCAGAATAAGAGTCCTCAGAGTGTGTTTGTAGTGCTTTGTTTACAGAATAAGAGTCCTCAGAGTGTGTTTGTAGTGCGTTGTTTTCAGAATAAGAGTCCTCAGAGTGTGTTTGTAGTGCGTTGTTTTCAGAATAAGAGTCCTCAGAGTGTGTTTGTAGTGCGTTGTTTTCAGAATAAGAGTCCTCAGAGTGTGTTTGTAGTACGTTGTTTTCAGAATAAGAGTCCTCAGAGTGTGTTTGTAGTTCGTTGTTTTCAGAATGGGAGTCCTCAGAATGTGTTTGTAGTGCGTTGTTTTCAGAATGGGAGTCCTCAGAATGTGTTTGTAGTGCGTTGTTTTCAGAATAAGAGTCCTCAGAGTGTGTTTGTAGTACGTTGTTTTCAGAATAAGAGTCCTCAGAGTGTGTTTGTAGTTCGTTGTTTTCAGAATGGGAGTCCTCAGAATGTGTTTGTAGTGCGTTGTTTTCAGAATGGGAGTCCTCAGAGTGTTTGTGTTGTTGGTTCAGCTCTTCACAATGTACATGCTGTGTATTATTTTCAGAATAAGAGTTTTCACAATGTGTGTGTTGACTATTATTTTCAGAATAAGAGCCTTCAGTGTGTGTGTTTGTACATGAGTCAACTTTCTCATCTGTGTGCGTTTGTTCACCTCCTCTCTCTTCCTCTTCTTTTTTTTCTCCTCCTTCTCTCTGCTCTTCTTTCGTTACTTGCTCTTCCTCCCTTCTTTCCTGACTCTGCTGTACAATTATAACCCGAACCTCCTCTTCTACCTCCACCTCCTCTAACTCATCATCTCCCTCCTCATCCAACTCTCCCTCTGTGTGTTCACACTCATCCTCCTCCTCCTCCTCAGCAGTTTGTGTGTACAGCAGCTCATCCATTCTACACTCTGTGTCCTCCACCTGTTCTTCCTTTTCTTCACCTTCATCAGCTAACACTAACATTTTATCCATCCCTTCCTGCCTCTCCATCAGCTCTCCCTCCTCCCTCTCTTCCCCTGTCTCCCCCTGTTTCCCTCGCTCTTCTTCCTCCTCCTCCTCCTCTCTGAGTTCTGTGCAGTTTGCAGGTTCAGTGTTTATCTTCAGACTCCTGCCTGAATCAGTACCTTCTATTTGCTCCTGAGACGTCCAGCGCTCCATCTGAAAGCGGGAGGTTCCCACGATTTCAGGAGGAGCAGAAGAGGAGGAGACGGGTGCGAGGATGACGGGTCCACAGGAGTCCTGGTTGAGGTTCTCGTTGATGAGCTTGGAGCAAAGCCCGGTGTGGGAACTGACCTCTGCACAGGGCCAGTAGGAGTGTGTGTTGGTGGATTTGGGAGTATGTGTCATAACAGGAGCGCTGGGAGTACTGGTTCTGGCTCGGTGCTGCAGGCTGATGGACTGGGTCAAGGAGCCTTTCTGTGGAGAGAAGCGAGGCAGCGGGAGCTCCGTCAGCTCCACGTACTCGCCCTCCGACTCCTCGCCCTCGCTGCTCGCTGGTGATTGGTCAGTTTTTGCAGACGATGGGAGGAGCTTTACATCCCGTCCTGAGGCGTTAGAATTGTGCGATGTGTTAAGTAACATATTTCCATTCTTAACGGACGACTTCTTGTCCTCCTCCAGGAAGGTCTGGGGCCGACTAATGAACTGCGGGTAGACCAGGTCCTCCCAGGGGACACGGAAGACGTCTCCGTGGGCAGAGAGGAGGCAGCGCTCTAGCCTGGGCGCTCCTCGCTGCTCCCTCTCCCTGTTGACAGAGTCCAGCCAGGCCATGCTGAAGAGGGACCGCAGGGCTATCTCCGACACCTCCTGTTGCTCCACATGACGGCTGCCGGCTGACACACTGCACAGGAGCAGGCGGGGGAGGGAGGGAACAGCGCTCCTGCAGGAGGTGCTGCGTGCTCGAGGAGGAGGGGCAGCAGCAACAGCAGGAGGAGATACCAGCAGGTAGAAGTCTCCTGGATGGAGGAGGCGCTGGTCCAGAGGACAGAGCTGAACCACTACCTTCTCGTGGACACACAGGGGCCAGCCCTCGTGACGAAACAACAAACCACAATACTGCAACTGAGGAGGAGACGAGGAGAGGAGACAAGGAAGAGGACAGATTAAAAAAGGATCAAATACAAAAAGAACATATAACAATAAGAAAAAGCAGGGACTCCATCACTCTGAGCTGATTCCACTGTCTTACATTTTTTTGTACAACCCTCTAACCAACTTGATATGTGAAGGACATTGGAGCATAGGGGTGGGCGATATGGGCAAAAAATAATATCTCAATTTTTTGGGGATTTTGGCGATAACGATAATCAGTCGATATCCTTTAAAATGTGATTAGAATTGTCTGAGCTGGACTTTACAGCGCTAAGAGCGCTCAAAAACTCATTTTCCGAGCGCCCAGCGGGGTCAAAGGTTGAACAGATTTCAACTTGAAGCGCTCTGAGCGCTGCGCTAAAAAAAAACCGTCTCCGCTGACATCTTTTTACCGCTGAGGGCGCTTAGCGCTCTGAACGCTGAAGCCCATAGGACCCACGTCTCGGCACTAAATCATCTGAAGTACCGGTAGCTTCAGGGACCGGAGGTGTTTGCATTTTCTCTCTATCATCACAACGCGCTGCTAAACTGTTGCAAGGAGGATGCTAGCGAGAGGTCACGTGATCACGTCATGTGATCACGTCGGCCCACTAGTTGTGTGACTGAATCCTGCCATGCTGTAGAGAGCGCTGCTGCACCGTGTATTAATGGATGTGAGGAGTTTCCGCGGGCGTTTCATTGTTTTTGTCGAAGTAATTTAAATACTCGATAATGGAAATTTGCACATCGTCAAAACAACAATGACGATATTATCGCAAACGATATATATCGCCCACCTCTATTGGAGCAATGTCTGTAGTATGGTGTAATCAATATGTTTTAAAACAAGGAATCAGGTAGTTCAGGCCTCTCTGTGGTCACAGCTGTATCCAGTTAATCTGATCCAATCACCATGGCAGCATCAAAACAAACAGCATTACGTCTCCGTCAAAACTGAACATTTACAGTCAATAATCACATCAACAGGCCAAACACTCACACAGATCTCAGTCTGAACACTGTGGCCTCAGTGTGCGAGGCGACGCCCAGCAGCGGCCGCCAGGTGAGTGACGATCCCAAAGAGTCACCTTAACCAAACATGACACATCAGCCAACCATGCACGGTGTTCAGCAGGCAAGAACAGACACAACCAGAGAGAGTGAGAGAGAGTCCTGACTCACGTCCAGTTATAATCTCCTGAGTCAGAGTGTCTCTGTTCCTGTGTCCTCAGAATCATCCATCATATCTGACTGCTGATGTATGACTCCAAAACAGTCCCTAAAAGCAGGGAACTCTAAAGACTGGACAGTAGGCTCTAAAGACTGGACAATGGGCCCTACTGACTGGACAATGGGCCCTAAAGACTGGACAGTAGGCTCTAAAGACTGGACAATAGGTTCTAAAGACTGGACAATGTGCCCTACTGACTGGACAAAAGGCTCTAAAGACTGGATAGTAGGCTCTAAAGACTGGACAGTAGGCTCTAAAGACTGGACAGTAGGCTCTAAAGACTGGACAATAGGCTCTAAAGACTGGACAGTAGGCTCTAAAGACTGGACAATAGGTTCTAAAGACTGGACAATAGGTTCTTAAGACTGGACAGTAGGTTCTAAAGACTGGACGTTAGCCCTTAGCCCCTAACAAAAGGGTGAACTTGAACTTGATAGCCCCTACAGATAGGGCACTAGACACCATAATCAGACAGGTCCAGGGATACTCACACAGGCATCTTGCTGGAGGTTCGCCAATAATTGCTTTACAGGCAACAGGAAGTGGATTAGGTAGCGAAGACCGTCTCCTCTGTAGCAGCTCTCCACCACGTTGAGGACCTGACAGAGGATAGTCGGGGATGTGGCCTTGAAGGGAGGGTAGAGGGCTGACAGAGCAGTCTGGATGCACCGGTCTAAAGATTCAGAGTCCTGAGAGGAAACGGACAAAGACTTTAACAGCTTGTAGCTTCACTTTTTCCCACAGTGTCCTAATGAGGAGGCGAGGCTGCAGTGATACGACATTACAGATGCGGTGGAGTTTTACATCCCTGGTTTAGTTTAGCTACGTTTATTTATTAGAAAAATACCACAAATAAAAAAAGGGTTAGGGTTACGGTGATAAAATGACAGGAGAGGAAGGCAGCCTGAAAGGCTCATTCAGAGTCCTCCCCTGTTTCAGCTGGAATCATTATTAAAGAAAAACAATACAAACAACACACAGCTAACAAAGAAATGATATCTTCTGTACTTTGTTTTTAAGAAATAAAACCTGTTAACAAGTATTAGTATTAAGTATTTATCACTTCCAGTTAGTTAGTTAGTTTAACGTTAGAACTGTTCAGAACCAGAGTTTAACATTAGAACTGTTCGGTACCAGAGTTTAACATTAGAACTGTTCGGTACCAGAGTTTAACATTAGAACTGTTCTGAACCAGAGTTTAACATTAGAACTGTTCGGTACCAGAGTTTAACATTAGAACTGTTCTGAACCAGAGTTTAACATTAGAACTGTTCGGTACCAGAGTTTAACATTAGAACTGTTCAGAACCAGAGTTTAACGTTAGAACTGTTCGGTACCAGAGTTTAACGTTAGAACTGTTCGGTACCAGAGTTTAACATTAGAACTGTTCGGTACCAGAGTTTAACATTAGAACTGTTCAGAACCAGAGTTTAACGTTAGAACTGTTCGGTACCAGAGTTTAACATTAGAACTGTCCTGTACCAGAGCTTAACATTAGAGTCCTGTTAGAACTGTTCAGAACCAGAGTTTAATGTTAGAACTGTTCAGAACCAGAGTTTAACATTAGAACTGTTCAGTACCAGAGTTTAACATTAGAACTGTTCGGTACCAGAGTTTAACGTTAGAACTGTTCAGAACCAGAGTTTAACATTAGAACTGTTCGGTACCAGAGTTTAACATTAGAACTGTTCAGTACCAGAGTTTAACGTTAGAACTGTTCAGAACCAGAGTTTAACGTTAGAACTGTTCGGTACCAGAGTTTAACATTAACATTAACTGCCAGTATCACTGACCCACCAGTACCACTGACCCACCAGTATCACAGACCAGTATCACTGACCCACCAGTACCACTGACCCACCAGTACCACTGACCCACCAGTGTCACTGACCAGTATCACTGACCCACCAGTACCATTGACCCACCAGTATCACTGACCCACCAGTATCACAGACCAGTACCACAGACAGACAGTACCTCCGTCTGTTCTCCACTCTAACACTATCACATGCCTCTTTATCAGCACGTGTTTGTTCTGCAGTCAGAATCAAGTTTCGGGCTAACCACCGAGGGCGAACACGGCAGGCCCTGCAGGGGTGGCTGGGAGGCCATGTCTGCCACGGTGAGAACAGGATCGGGGCTGTAACTGGATCCACTGGTCCGGAGGCAGCGGAGACTGGTCAGGTAAAAATATCAGCGGAGACTCGTGGTCTGGCTCCAGCCAGTTCTGGGACCGTCTCAGTGTGTGACACACATTTAACTCCTCACTATCTATCAAACTGTTACTGTCCACTGTCCAGCACCATGAACCAGAACTGCTGAGTACAAAGGTTCCTGTTAGAACTGTTCAGAACCAGAGTTTAACATTAGAACTGTTCAGAACCAGAGTTTAACGTTAGAACTGTTCGGTACCAGAGTTTAACATTAGAACTGTTCGGTACCAGAGTTTAACGTTAGAACTGTTCAGAACCAGAGTTTAACATTAGAACTGTTCGGTACCAGAGTTTAACGTTAGAACTGTTCGGTACCAGAGTTTAACGTTAGAACTGTTCAGAACCAGAGTTTAACATTAGAACTGTTCGGTACCAGAGTTTAACATTAGAACTGTTCTGAACCAGAGTTTAACATTAGAACTGTTCGGTACCAGAGTTTAACATTAGAACTGTTCAGAACCAGAGTTTAACGTTAGAACTGTTCGGTACCAGAGTTTAACGTTAGAACTGTTCGGTACCAGAGTTTAACATTAGAACTGTTCAGAACCAGAGTTTAACGTTAGAACTGTTCAGAACCAGAGTTTAACGTTAGAACTGTTCGGTACCAGAGTTTAACATTAGAACTGTTCAGAACCAGAGTTTAACGTTAGAACTGTTCGGTACCAGAGTTTAACATTAGAACTGTTCAGTACCAGAGTTTAACATTAGAACTGTTCAGAACCAGAGTTTAACATTAGAACTGTTCAGTACCAGAGTTTAACGTTAGAACTGTTCAGAACCAGAGTTTAACATTAGAACTGTTCAGTACCAGAGTTTAACATTAGAACTGTTCAGTACCAGAGTTTAACGTTAGAACTGTTCAGAACCAGAGTTTAACATTAGAACTGTTCGGTACCAGAGTTTAACATTAGAACTGTTCAGAACCAGAGTTTAACGTTAGAACTGTTCAGAACCAGAGTTTAACGTTAGAACTGTTCGGTACCAGAGTTTAACATTAGAACTGTTCAGTACCAGAGTTTAACATTAGAACTGTTCAGTACCAGAGTTTAATGTTAGAACTGTTCAGTCTGGGTCTCCAGCTGTTACACTGACTGATGCTAACCTGCATATGTTGGACAGTTAGCATCAATAATCAGCTGTATGGACGATATCTCAGCAGATATCTTTAAACAGGAAGTGGAAATATTTCAGCTCCCAGCAGCTGATTGGGATTCATTCTGAGGTTATTGATATGATCAATACATTGGAGCTGCATTTTCTGATCAATAAAGCTCAGCATCAGACATAATATTTCTTCACTTCTGTAGTTCTGTAATAATCATATAAATAATAAGAATAAGGAGAGTTTTATTTTGTTTCTGTCCACTTTGATTGTGTTTTATAATTATCTGCCAGATAAAACGATTGGCTCTGTCAGTGGAGTCTGGTTGGTCTGTCCATTGTTTTGCTCTAATATTTTGGTGCTAGTAGTGAAGTTCATATATAACCTTTAACTCCAGCTACAGCTGCTGTCAACCACAAAAGCCACTAGAAGTGAGAAGCCTGCTAACGGAGACATTTGACCTGGAAGAAGCCTCAGCTTTGTCGATAAGAGATATTACATGTTGTCGTGCGTTACACTGTGGCTTAGCAGCAGTAGGCGTTGGAGCTATTGGTTGACCAACAGGAAACCAGCTGCTGACTGCCTGGAAGCACCTTAGCCGACAACCTACATTATGTACATGAGACAGACATGTGGAATTTGTCCTCTGTTGATGGAGACGAGCTGGCACTTTCCCTCCGGCTCACCCAGCAACACGGCCGGCGCTCGCCCTGGGTCTGAATATTCTGGATGTGACTCAGCTGAGCGGGATTCACGCTCAACAACTGGCAGCCAAATGTAGGACTGCAGCCAATATTAGCAGCAGGGTATCAGGTGACAGCGGGCCAGGCTGCACTCCACAGATCATGGGTTCAAACTGTTGACGCAAGCGAAGACAGAACTTCTTTTGGCTCAGAGTGAATTTTACACAGAGCTGTAAACACATTAGTGCTCCAAAAGTTTAAAACAAGATCACAAACACACTCTGTTACAGAGAATACACACACAGAGAGAGTCCCAGTCTGCAGCAGCTAAATCATCATTACCCTTTAAAGCCAACAACGGCTCATAGAGCAGAACCAGCAGAACCAGCAGAACCAGCAGCTTACTCAGCATCTCCCACTCCAGCCTGTATTTGTTGGCCTGCAGCAGTAAACTGACAAATCTCTATCGACTATCCATTAAAGGCAATAAAAGCCCCTAAAATATAGATCTTTTAAAAAGAACATAGAGGGAGCCGGTCCATGTCGGACAAAGCAAACACTGGATCTAGATATGGACGTTGAACCAGATTATCTGTTGCTGTGTGACTTCCTGTCACCGCTCTGTGCCGCTGTGGCTCAGCTTCTGTCAGATATAGAGCAGCTGTGTATTGATGCTTCTGAGAGCACCGCAGCCGTGCCCGCTGGAATCTGGGCTTAATATTTCAGTACCGTGAGATCACACAGACACACACCACTTCAGAAACGCTGCGGCAAAGAGCGACGGAGAAGAAACAGCTGTTGTGCCTGTGGAGAACAGCTGCATGAGCAATCGGGCGTTCAGATATTATCACAGCAAAAACAAGGGGATTCAAGCAGACATATTTACAGGAAATGGCTTCAAAACAGGAAGGAAGTAGTAAAGTAGTACCGAACCGTAACACTGATGAGTAGTCAGAGTTCAAACATTTTAACTTTAAGGAAACATGAGAGGAGCCCACAGCGGGCGTACCACTGGAAACAGGACGTCTACTTCAGTCCACATTCAGTACTGGTGACCCTGTCTCACTAACGGGAGAGCAGCACAACAGTATTTTTAATGCCATGTGTTTAAAAATCAATCAAAAGTACTGAAATGACCAAATATATACAAGAGATTTACAGTCAGAGGTCCTCAATGGTATATAGTGATCATTAATATTAACATCAGCACTGTGTGCTGGTTGTGGATACAAAGATAAAATCTATGCGCCTGTAGCACAACCGTGGCTTCAAAAGATGAATCCAATATATTTTATTTTGTATTGTATCAAAAACTGGATGTTGAAGGGTTAGACGTCAGTGTGTGTGTGTGTGTGTGTGTGTGTGTGTGTTTTAAATGCAGCCACTTCAGTGACAAATCTGCTCTGTGATGTAAAAACATGTGAAATTAGGGTCAACTGCAACTCACACAAAATGTTAATCCAGCTGTAGAATCACAGAGTATATACATGTGAGGATTATGGTTCTAAGACTGCAGCTTTGCCTTGGTTTTGAGAGGGTGAGGAGGGCTGAGGACGGTGAGGAGGGGTGAGGAGGGGTGAGGAGGAGGCACATGAAAGCACATTGAGTGAGGTTCCCATGGGAGAATCAAAGAGGCCACCCACTCTGAGGCCCTGCTGAATAATAACGTCATTATCCTCCACACACCAGACTCCTGTGATAAAACACACCGTTTAATGTCACTGAAGGAACAAACAGAAAAACCTTCATTTCCAACACAAACAGACAAATACAAAGAGGTCAAACCAGTGGATTTAAAGCTTCCTTAAAGCTCAGTCGGTAGAGATGGCAACCTGTGTACTGAGGCAGAGTCCTTACTGCAGCGGCCCGGGTTCGACTCCGACCTGCGGCCCTTTGCTGCGCGTCATCCACTCTCTCGACCCCCCCTTTCCTGTCTATCTTCGGCTGTCACTATCAAGTAAAGGCAATAAAAAGACCAAGAAAATAACTTAAAAAAAGAAAGAAAGAAAGCTGCCATTAGCTTTGTACCATTAGCATCATTAATTGTTGGCTAAAATCAACACCGTTTGTCAAAATACATAAGTTATTATCATGGATCATGTTAGCTGGGGAAGCTAACATTGGCCAACTAACATCCACTCAGATAGTATTTTGCTAGCAATAATGTTAGCCACTAAGCAAGCTAAGGCCCCACAATGTCAACCGACAAAGTAACCTGCAAACAGCGAGCCCTACGAGTCTGGTTGAAGCTAGCTGATAGCTTTGCTATGTTAGCTAGCTAGAAATACGGCAGCTAAAAGTAGTTTCAGACAATATGTTCCACAAGCTTTGCAGTAATGTTAGCTTTGACTTTGGACCCTGTGTTGGACTCTGTGTTGTGGACTCTGTGTTGTGACTCTGTGTTGTGGACTCTGTGTTGTGGACTCTGTGTTGTGGACTCTGTGTTGTGGACTCTGTGTTGTGGACTCTGTGTTGGACTCTGTGTTGGACTCTGTGTTGGACTCTGTGTTGGACTCTGTGTTGTGGACTCTGTGTTGTGGACTCTGTGTTGTAGACTCTGTGTTGTGGACTCTGTGTTGTGGACTCTGTGTTGTGGACTCTGTGTTGTGGACTCTGTGACTCTGTGTTGTGGACTCTGTGTTGTGTTGTGGACTCTGTGTTGTGTTGTGGACTCTGTGTTGTGACTCTGTGTTGTGGACTCTGTGTTGTGGACTCTGTGTTGTGGACTCTGTGTTGTGGACTCTGTGTTGTGGACTCTGTGTTGTGGTACTCTGTGTTGTGGACTCTGTGTTGTGGACTCTGTGTTGTGGACTCTGTGTTGTGACTCTGTGTTGGACTCTGTGTTGTGGACTCTGTGTTGGACTCTGTGTTGTGGACTCTGTGTTGGACTCTGTGTTGGACTCTGTGTTGTGGACTCTGTGTTGTGACTCTGTGTTGGACTCTGTGTTGTGGACTCTGTGTTGTGGTGTTGTGGACTCTGTGTTGTGGACTCTGTGTTGTGGACTCTGTGTTGTGGACTCTGTGTTGGACTCTGTGTTGTGACTCTGTGTTGTGGACTCTGTGTTGTGGTGGGTGTCGGTCGTTTGTAGACAAAGAGTAAAAGTTCCAACATTCACAGGTAGGGTGTTAACGGACAGATTTTATGTTGTAGAACAAAATGTTAAATATCTACAGCTTGTGTGAACCACAGATCTTTTTTCAAATCAAAAACACATTGACTTCAATGAGAGGAAACCGTTAGCTAAAATGCTAACTCATTTCCTGGTTTCAGGACTCCTGCAGCGCTCTGTGGGGGGAACACGATCTTTACAAAAGTTTCAGGTTAAAGTCCACAAGTATGATTTTAACTGAGTGCTGCAGCCAATCAGAGAGCAGCGGTGCTTTCAGAGTAAGACAGAAGAGAGGTTGCTGTTTAATCATCCGGATGGAGCCTTTCACATTAACTAATCCAATCTCTCTGGTTATGCTGGTTCTGATGAATAGTCAGTGGCAGCCTCTATGTCCCTGGAGGGCCGTGATTCATCCACACAACGTTCAGCTGACTGCTGATGGAAAAACCAGTTCCTGCTGGGTGTGGAGGATCAGGGTGCAGCAAAGAACAGGGTTCATTCAGACCACATCCTACACACAAACATAATGAGCCAGCATTGTGATATAAATACCACTGATTGTATCTGAATATCACACACTGTCTTTAACTGTCTTCAAACAACCCGACCAAAAGAGGAGCTCCAAAGGAAACAGGTCATGACCTTTTTAGTAACCAATCATGGTGACAGGGCACCGGGAGGGAGGAGCTCTAAAAGCCCAGGGACCCACAGGAGACATGATCTTTGACCCCCCACAAGTGAACACAGTGACAGAAGAACCAGCTGTCCTATAGATCAGACTGAGCTTCAAACATCCAGAGGAAGCAGACAGTTTGGTTCAGTAACAGCTGTAGATATTAAATCTGACCTGATCCAGAACCATTTTCACATGAAAACACCCATCAAGTCCCAAATGCAGGTACACTTTGAGTTTAGCTCAAATGTGACCCTCACTGTCCACCGTACCTATCATCATATCAGCCAATCAAATCAAAGCAGCTTTCAACACACTGTGTGAGTTTTTGTTATTAGGAACATCTGCGTTAAAGTTTATTAGAGATGTGCTAATCAGTCAAAAGTCAGACTTTTTGTGAGAGGTGGCGTCTGAACCACACAGATAAAATATTATGGGATGTTTTTGGGGATTGTTGTGATCTAAAATGTCTGATTTCACAGCAGCCTTTCTAAAATATTGTGATGCATGTTGAAGATGTTTTAGATACTGAAGTTGAGGGAGAAACTGAAGGCAGTGTGACAATATAACCTACAGTAGTTTGGTGACGTATAGATCTGCTGTGATTGGACAAAAAGTTGCACAGAATTCACTGGCATTGGTTGGCATTGGTTGGCATTGGTTGGCATTGGGTGGCACTGGCTGGCATTGGTTGGCACTGGTTGGCACTGGCTGGCATTGGTTGGCATTGGCTGGCACTGGCTGGCATTGGTTGGCACTGGCTGGCATTGGTTGGCATTGGCTGGCATTGGTTGGCATTTGCTGGCAATGGTTGGCATTTGCTGGCATTGGTTGGCATTGGCTGGCATTGGTTGGCATTTGCTGGCATTGGTTGGCATTGGTTGGCATTTGCTGGCATTGGTTGGCATTGGCTGGCAATGGTTGGCATTGGTTGGCAGTTTTACTGTCAGTAAAATGTATATTTTTGTCTGGTACATTGTCTGAGAGCTTTAAAGTGGGATGCAGAGTCTCTTTAGAACATGTGGCGAACCCAGTGAACCCAGCCTGCTCATTATAACTGCACTTTAAATAAAGTCAGTGTTATTATGCAGATGTTTTCATCAGGAACACTGCAGACCTCAGATCAGTCACTCACAGTGTAGATGCAGCTGCAGATGAAACCAGATCCTGTTTATTTCTGTGTGTCAGTGAGGTTCACCAACAACGTTCACCCTGAAACAAACAGCCTGTTTGTACACCTCACTGACTGATTTTATCTACAGCCCATCAGAGCAGAGCTGTGACAATAACAGCATTATAATGAAGTTCTGCAGAGACCTCCTCACTTACTCATCTAGTTCTCCAGATGTAAGAAAACCCAAACATTTCACATCATGATGATTTAAATCATTTTTTTGTGAAATTTGTAATGCAAAACTGATCATTTCCACATAATGTTGAATCGCTATATCTGTCAAAATAAGTGCAACTGCTTCAGAAAAACTGATTTCAGTTGATAGAGGTCTGCCCGAGAAGTACTGATCTCTCTGTGGTTGGGGTGGGTGTATGAAAATATAGAAAAATTATTTAGTTTTGTGGCAGTGATTCTCACAAACGCTGTGGATTTTATGTTTAAATCTCCAGCAGCTGATAGCAGAGTGCAAATATATTTTATATTGTATATGTATATATCGTAACATACTGAATCGAAACCCCCGTCTGGTTGCACCACTACACAGCCCCAGTGGTTGGCGGGTCTGATCACGCTGTGCAAGCTGAAATGAGACGCTGCATTATTAACTGATGACCTCGGGTGCAATGCAGCTGTAATTAGAGGAGGAATTTCAACATACAGATTGGAGGATTAAGAACAGACAAGCTCTGTTTTCTTGATTATTATGAATCGAAGGAGGTCGGCAGGTAACGTGAGTCCCGTGTGAAAAGGACTTTTGTCTCAGGAAGTTCACTGGAGTTGTTTTACATCTTAATCTTTTTAAAAGTTTGTCCTGTAATGAATGAATGTGTGTTTGTATCTGCCGCTACCTGCTGCAGCTTGTTTAACCTGACTGATATTCTCCCCACAGGGATCAAAGTTTCGTCTGTCTGATCTTATCTGGCTCGATGAATGACAAGGAGGAATGAAACAGCTACAGGGTGAGTACGCCTTTATTCTGAAAGTTCCAGCAGTAAAGTGATCAGGAAACGTTGGGTGCTCGAGGGGAAACACGAGGTGTGAGAGGAGACAACCGAGTCAACCACACTGCGATGTTTCCATTAATAACAGGAATGTTACAGATATACCACTGCAGACAGACACACTGCAGATAGACACACTGCAGACAGACACACTGCAGATAGACACACTGCAGGTAGACACACTGCAGGTAGACACACTGCAGGTAGACACAGTGCAGACAGACACAGTGCAGGTAGACACACTGCAGACAGACACACTGCAGATAGGCACAGTGCAGACAGACACAGTGCAGACAGACACAGTGCAGACAGACACACTGCAGACAGACACAGTGCAGACAGACACAGTGCAGGTAGACACACTGCAGACAGACACACTGCAGGTAGGCACAGTGCAGACAGACACACTGCAGGTAGACACACTGCAGGTAGGCACACTGCAGGTAGACACAGTGCAGACAGACACAGTGCAGACAGACAGTGCAGACAGACACACTGCAGACAGACACACTGCAGATAGACACACTGCAGGTAGGCACAGTGCAGACAGACACACTGCAGGTAGACACACTGCAGACAGACACACTGCAGGTAGGCACAGTGCAGACAGACACACTGCAGGTAGGCACAGTGCAGACAGACACACTGCAGGTAGACACACTGCAGACAGACACACTGCAGGTAGGCACAGTGCAGACAGACACACTGCAGATAGGCACAGTGCAGACAGACACAGTGCAGACAGACACAGTGCAGACAGACACACTGCAGACAGACACAGTGCAGACAGACACACTGCAGACAGACACACTGCAGACAGACACAGTGCAGACAGACACACTGCAGATAGACACACTGCAGACAGACACACTGCAGATAGACACAGTGCAGGTAGACACACTGCAGGTAGGCACAGTGCAGGTAGGCACAGTGCAGACAGACACAGTGCAGACAGACACACTGCAGACAGACACAGTGCAGACAGACACAGTGCAGACAGACAGTGCAGACAGACACACTGCAGATAGACACACTGCAGATAGACACACTGCAGATAGACACACTGCAGGTAGACACAGTGCAGACAGACACAGTGCAGACAGACAGTGCAGACAGACACACTGCAGACAGACACACTGCAGATAGACACACTGCAGACAGACACACTGCAGATAGACACACTGCAGGTAGACACACTGCAGATAGACACACTGCAGGTAGACACACTGCAGACAGACACACTGGAGACAGACACACTGCAGACAGACACACTGCAGGTAGACACAGTGCAGGTAGACACACTGCAGGTAGAGACACTGCAGACAGACACACTGCAGACAGACACACTGCAGACAGACACACTGCAGGTAGAGGCACTGCAGTGTCTCTCCCTCTGCCTGTGTTGTATCTCAGCCTCTCTGTGGTTTGTTTCCATAGCCGGTCTGCTCCGACTGAAACTGCTGTTTTTATCATCTACGTCGGTGAATTAAGGATTTATTTCCACCAAACCAGAGTTGGTGATTGTTGGAAACACTAACAGAGACGCTTTTAATGAGTTTGATTCTGTTTCTGTCCACTTTGATGAAGTTTTAAGAAAATTAAATTCAGAAGTTTTCTGTTTTTCTTCTGTTTTAATGTCTGTTTTAAGGACAAAGGTGTTTGAGGAATTTGTGAGCCCACAGAGCCCCGACCCCGTCATCATTTATAAAGTGTGTGTTAAGTCTGGATGAGGCTGAAACAGACAGAAAGTGATGTGTGAATGCAGTTAAAACGGGCTCAGCATGCTGCTCTTTGTTTCTGTTTTCACAGGAGTTCACACCTTCATGAGAGCAGGCAGCAGCTGAGGCTGATGGGAGGGGAACACAGAGACGTCGGGCGCCAGCGAGCTGAGACTGATAGCGCAGAGCGATGACCTTGACACGTTGAGTTTCTACAACGGGAGATTAGATTTGAGCCGCCAGAGTCTGAATGCTTCGTACTGCTGCTCACTGAACCCAGCTGTGCAGAGGAGGCACTCACACAAACCCGACTTCAACCAGTCCACTGAAATAAAGAGCTAATACCCCGGCCCCTCAGGGACCTGCTGGGACTGAAGCACCGAACTAATGTCCTACCACGGACAGCAAAGACAGTCTGAAGTGGAAAGGTAGAAATGTGATGGTCAGTGTAACAGTAATGGTCTACACTGATTGGGGCAATACACATTCCAACACACATTTTATTTGGGTTGCAGAATTTCTTCCTCCAGTTAAATGCACTTTCCTCATTTATTAAGTAATTACTAAGTAGTATTAAGTATTTCAAATGTGTATATTGTTTTGCTGATGATGGAGAAAAGAGACCCTTAACTCCTGATACGATGTGTAGGATGTGTCAGCACACAGAACATTATTCATACATAGTTTCATTAATGCTCAGATATTGGTGTTATGTGCCTTTTTACAGACAATCATTTGTCCAGCCCTCCGGTCAACTGCTTGTTTTAAATGTGCTTTATAAATACACTTCATTGGATTTGATTGAGTTATTTCCAGGTGTTTTAATATTCTTCCATTAGAGGTTTTCAATGTGACAATATGTAAATATGTAATATATATTGGCAGATATACAGAGATGATATATAGAATAATCAATACTGGTATTATCTGTATTGTGAGGCAGGTTTGAGTCTGAAGTAGGTCAGAGAATTTAACACTCCAGGGGGAGTCTTCTTTTAACGGGGGTTAAATTCAGGTGGGCGGTGTGGCGTTTCTGTGGGGGGTCCCAGACGATTGGGGGGGGCGCCTGAGGGTTTGGGTTCCAGGCAGGCCGGAGCAGGAAGATGACAGAGTGTCAGAGACTGTCTCATCCCAACAACACGCTCAGCGGCGAGGACAACGGACACTTCCTGTCTCCTGAGAAATAAAAGCCTGCAGGTACAAAGGAGTTCCTGACCCACATCTGACCCGCGACGCAACGTGAAAACCGCTTCCATCAGGACGGGAGGCACTGCCCACTGGGTTAGTGTGTTAAACATGATTCAGACCATCAGCTGCTCATGGAAACCTCCACACAGACAGACATCATCTTTTCACTGGGAATAAGGAAGATATAAAGAGTCAGAAATACACTGCAATGTGAGAACAAGTACCACAAACCACAAGCTTTTACTGGTTATTGTGACACCAACTTAGTTTTGTAAGTTACACAAACATTCCTGATTCAGTGTTTTTACTCTATATTTTGTTGTCACTACAAAATTAAATCAATACCACTTAAAATAGCTACTTGATCATGGATGTTTTTTCAACTTAGAAAATAACTTTGAGGTAAAATCTGTAACTGAGTCCAGCTGTCACTCTTACTTCACTATGAACTAAGTTAGCATAGGCCTGATCAACCAAACTCCTTTCAGAAAACATCATCGTCTTGCAGACCGACTGACAAAGTATGAATTCAGATTTTTTATCGCCATCATGATGCCGTTATTGCTGCTTCATTTGATCCGTTTATTGACATTAAATCACAGAAACATCTGATTGTTTCGGGCTCAAACCGCCGGCAGTGGGGAGAGAGGCAGTCACATGATTCAGTCACATGATTCTGATGATGTGTGACATTGAGATGGAGGAAAGTCCCTGCTGTTCTAGTTTAAACCATATCAGACATATTTTGTCTTTTCTGATGGGGAACTGAAGTCATTATGTCTCTCTTCCAAGCCACCAGACTCCATTGATAAATGATCATTTTAGCTCACAGAACACAGTTTCTGGTCTACCGCTGCCTGCTCCTGTGTTCTGTAAGGTAAAATTACTGTTTTTATCAATGGAGTCTGGTGGATGTAAAGATGTCACTTCCGATCAGAGAGGGCTGTCTGACTGCGAGGCAGTGCTGAAAATATTATAGATATAGTACACACTGACTATATTTAATGGGCTGGATTTTGCAGAATACATAGCACACAGAAGAACTCGCAGGACCATTTTTCAGGTTCTTTTCCATCAGTTTCTTGCATTTTTTTAAACAACTTTTTCGATAAGACCTCCTTTAGAGAAAATCCCTTCCTGTCCTCCATCTGCAGTTCAATGCAACAAACAAGCTACAGCGAATAAATGCAGCTTCAGTTTGTGGCAGAGGGGACTGGATGCAGTTCCAGGAGCTCCTTCAATGAAGGATCCTGATGCGGATCGCTCCCGAGCCGACATTTGGAGCTCTATAAACACTGCAGGGTATTTCTGAACATACAACCAGATCCTCTGATTGACATAGCTGGGATGTCAGGCGAGAATATACTCTTAACTGGAGCCAAATCTACAATTACAACCTTTGTAACACTACAAGCATCGAGTTGAACTTTATCTAAAGAGCCCGAGAACGTACAGAACTATCAGACATTTAATTCTCAATCAGATGACAGTGAGTGAAAGTAAGGGTGAAACTAACTTTATTGATTATCCAGTATTGAATAATTTAAAAAGATACAAAATATTTCGGAGGTGAAACATGACCTGGAAAAGTTCCTAACACACAGTTACTCTCTGTGGTTGAGGAAACTTATATATACGACATTCACTGCCACTAGACGTCACACTAGAGCGCCAGAATCCATTGACAAATCCATTCATTTAATCAAAATAAAACTCACCAACACTGTCTCTGTTAGTGTTTCATCTCTGGTTTGGTGGAAATAAATCCTTAATTCACAGACGTAGATGATAAAATAGTCACAAAATGAGCCAAAATGGCAGCAATGCAAGCTATCGCTAACAAACTAACAGCAGTTGTTGTTTGTTTCACTAACCGTAGTAGTTGTTGTTTGTTCCACTAACAGTAGTTATTGTTTGTTCCACTGACAGTAGTTATTGTTTGTTCCACTGACAGTAGTAGTTGTTGTTTGTTCCACTAACAGTAGTTGTTGTTTGTTCCACTAACAGTAGTTGTTGTTTGTTCCACTAACAGTAGTTGTTGTGTTTGTTCCACTAACAGTAGTTATTGTTTGTTCCACTAACAGTAGTTGTTGTTTGTTCCACTAACAGTAGTTGTTGTTTGTCTCACTAACCGTAGTAGTTGTTTGTTCCACTAACAGTAGTTGTTGTTTGTTCCACTAACAGTAGTTGTTGTTTGTTTCACTAACAGTAGTTGTTGTTTGTTTCACTAACCGTAGTAGTTGTTTGTTCCACTAACAGTAGTTGTTGTTTGTTCCACTAACAGTAGTTGTTGTTTGTTTGTTCCACTAACAGTAGTTGTTGTTTGTTCCACTAACAGTAGTTGTTGTTTGTTTCACTAACCGTAGTAGTTGTTTGTTCCACTAACAGTAGTTGTTGTTTGTTCCACTAACAGTAGTTGTTGTTTGTTTCACTAACCGTAGTAGTTGTTTGTTCCACTAACAGTAGTTGTTGTTTGTTCCACTAAATATTGTTTGTTCCACTAACAGTAGTTGTTGTGTTTGTTCCACTAACAGTAGTTGTTGTTTGTTCCACTAACAGTAGTTGTTGTTTGTCTCACTAACCGTAGTAGTTGTTTGTTCCACTAACAGTAGTTGTTGTTTGTTCCACTAACAGTAGTTATTGTTTGTTCCACTAACAGTAGTTGTTGTTTGTTCCACTAACAGTAGTTGTTGTTGTTGTTTGTTCCACTAACAGTAGTTGTTGTTTGTTCCACTAACAGTAGTTGTTGTGTTTGTTCCACTAACAGTAGTTGTTGTTTGTTCCACTAACAGTAGTAGTTGTTGTTTGTTCCACTAACAGTAATTGTTGTTTGTTCCACTAACAGTAGTTGTTGTGTTTGTTCCACTAACAGTAGTTGTTGTTTGTTCCACTAACAGTAGTAGTTGTTGTTTGTCTCACTAACCGTAGTAGTTGTTTGTTCCACTAACAGTAGTTGTTGTTTGTTCCACTAACAGTAGTTGTTGTTTGTTCCACTAACAGTAGTTGTTGTTTGTTTCACTAACCGTAGTAGTTGTTTGTTCCACTAACAGTAGTTGTTTGTTCCACTAACAGTAGTTGTTTGTTCCACTAACAGTAGTTGTTGTTTGTTCCACTAACAGTAGTTGTTGTTTGTCTCACTAACCGTAGTAGTTGTTTGTTCCAATAACAGTAGTTGTTGTTTATTCCACTAACAGTAGTTGTTGTTTGTTCCACTAACAGTAGTTGTTTGTTCCACTAACAGTAGTTGTTTGTTCCACTAACAGTAGTTGTTGTGTTTGTTCCACTAACAGTAGTTGTTGTTTGTTCCACTGACAGTAGTAGTTGTTTGTTCCACTAACAGTAGTTGTTGTGTTTGTTCCACTAACAGTAGTTGTTGTTTGTTCCACTGACAGTAGTTGTTGTTTGTTCCACTGACAGTAGTTATTGTTTGTTCCACTGACAGTAGTTGTTGTGTTTGTTCCACTAACAGTAGTTGTTGTTTGTTTCACTAACAGTAGTAGTTCTTTGTTCCACTAACAGTAGTTGTTGTTGTTTGTTCCACTGACAGTAGTTGTTGTTTGTTCCACTGACAGTAGTTGTTGTTTGTTCCACTAACAGTAGTTGTTGTTTGTTCCACTAACAGTAGTAGTTTCTGCCACTGACAGACTCAGGTTGTTATTGTCAGTGTCTGACAGCATTATGGAAAGGATCCCTACAGAGATAGACCTTTAGTTTAACCACAAACAGCCAGAATATCACTCTCCACCAGACTCCAGAGACACAAACACTCATTTTACCTTCAGATCATCCTAACTTCATTAAAGTGAACAGAAACAGAATAAAACTTACCAAAACCAGTCAACAGATTGTTAAGTAAATGACGTGAACTATGATTTTGTGTTATTGATTATGGTGATTGATGTGCTGACAGACTGAACAGCTGCCACTGAATAACTTGCTCTGTGTTCCTGCTTCATGAGAGCAACCTCATCAGAGGCTCCATCCATCAGTACGAGTCCATTATCTGAGTGCTCTGAACATTCCTGCAGGTCAGCCCCCCCTGCCTCGCTCTGTGTTTTTACCCAGCAGCCCCTTGACAAGTCCAAACATCACTGATTTACAGTCTCAGAGGAACAGCCTGAACATGTCCTGCTTCCATCAGTGCTCCTTCCACTCCACCACTCTGCTCCTCTCTCTGTCTCTGTATTTAAAGATGATCAACGTAATGACTTGAGGAGAGAAACACCGCATGGAGGTCATTTTATATGTAGAATGAATGTTTTGTTGTTTGTGAACTACAGCTGCAGCTCCAACCTGGAGGTTTAACTGAGCTAAAAGGATCTTTGCTGTTATTTCAAACTGAAATCTGTAGTGTAGAAAGTAGAAAGGAGTTAGATAGTGTGGAGACAGCTTCGAGAGGAGGAATTTATCTAAATATAAAGTTATTGCTCATATTTCTAAATAATAAAGCCCTAATAATCCTAAATAAATAAATCTGTTTTTACAGATGCAACAATATTAAAAACTAAGCAATCTGTAAGGGTGCACGATAGTTATCGGGCCGATAACAGGAAATTATTATGTCATTCCGATAAGTCCGATATCATGACAAATAGCCCCGATAACATATATAATTTTGTCAGCATGGCAGTGCCCCGCTCTGGCTGTGAGACCTGAATGGCCTGCAGTGAATGCTGCGTTCAAGTTACATTGGCATAATCAGAAAAACTCTTTCTGACTGGGAAATTTCAAGAATACGCCCTCATGTCGAAAAGAACTCGTTAACTCGGTCATAATCTGACTTGAATTGATATCCACAGTATTTTTCCACGTTACACATTAACAATAGAAATATGAACTTAAAAAGGCCGAAAGAACGACTAGCAAACGTGGGAACAGGGAATTTCCGTCACACCGTGAATGCAGCACAGCGTGCTTACGTTTGAAAACAAACAACACGGCGTCGATTGTGTGGGACTTTACAAAGTTTCTGAAGAAGACAGGTCGCTTGTTATTTGTAACAAATGTTCCAAGCAAGTTCCACGAGGAGGTAAAAGTAGCACGAGCTTCAATACGTCAAACCTGATAAGTCACCTGAAACATAGCCATCGCTTCGACAGAGTCTCTCTCTCTCTCTCTCTCTCTCCCTCTGTCTCTCTCTCTCTCTCCCTCTGTCTCTCTCTCTCTCTCCCTCGCTCTCTCTCTCTCCCTCTCTCTCCCTCTCTCTCTAAAACAACTGAACCTCATTTACTTTAGTGAAAAGGTATTCATTTGAATGGAACCATAAGCCAAAATAAATTAAACTTAATGTTTTGTTACTATGGATACACTTTTTCAGTGTAACTTGTGTCAGTTCATTATGCACATTTTATTTGTTGTTATTGAGGAATGCACTTTTTCAGATTGTGTTTAAATAGAAATGTTTGAATCTAACTTGTGTCGGTGCATCAATTTTCCATATATATTTATTTTTTTGAACTTCTGGAATACACTTTTTCAGTTTGTAATCCCGCTGCATGTATTTGCATCAGTTCAAGGGGCCTTCATTTTGTTTTTTTGAGAGACTTGCCAATAATTTTTCATTGGAAAAAATAAATGTCTCCATTTAAAGAGTCAAAAGTCTTTTTGGGTTTGTTCATTGTATTAATGTCATGATCTTAGGTCATGATCATATATATAGAGAGAGAGAGAGACAGGTTGAAGGTCATTGAAGGGGTTAAGTACAAGAGAGCTCCAGAGGATGACATGGTCTGAGTTCAGTTCTGCCTCCATTTAGGATTTTACACTTACAACAAAACCTGTGTGAACTCTAGATCCATAATCAATTCACAGATAATCAATGTGCAGCCAGTTTGATCATCAGTATACAAATAAATGCCTCAGAGTTTGGATCTCTTTGGAGTTTAATCAATAATGTAAAATAATAGTTAGCTGGAGTCCTGGTAAAGTCCCACAGAACAATAATGTTTCCCCTGACGCTGTGACCGATCAGGAGTCAATCAAAAATGATACAATAATGATTACGATATTTCAATTTGATGTGATTCAGGGGTCTGAGATCGATATGAGCTCATTAACAGTAACATGTATTTATTTAAAGCTAGTGATCAATACTTTCAGTACAGATGATTACCTGTATAAGTAGCACTGTGTGAGAGCGTCCTGAGTGAACCCGCCTCCTGTTACTGACACTGATAATAATGTATCCCTCAGCCACAGCAACATTATATCATTATTATATTACATTAAACTGCAACAAATCACCTTCCAGGAGTTCTTCTGGACAATATTCACTTTCAGTTCAATTCATTTTTATTTGTATAGCACCAAATTATAACAGAAGTTATCTCAGGACACTTTTCAAATAGAGCAGGTCTAGAACAAACTCTTTATAACATTATTTACAGAGACCCAACAGTACCACCATGAGCAAGACCTTGGAGACAGTGGGACAGAACTTCACTAACGCTTATTCTACAGTTTCAGGCTGACCGACTGAACGTGTCCACAGTCACTAACAGTAACAGTAAATGTGATCTTCCATCTGTAAACCTGCTTTATATCACACAGTTGATCAATAACACTGATTATTTCCAGGATAGATGCTCATTTTAATTCTTTTCTAGTCTCTAATTTCCAGGTTTTCCAGGATTCATGGGAACGCTGACCAAACGCAAAACAGGAGAAACAGGGAAAACCAGGAGTGTCAGCAGGTCTGGGAGTGTGATAGGGTTAGTCTGAGCCAATCAGAGCAGAGTATGGGGGAAAGTAACGCCAGTATAACTGCGTCTGTATGTAAACACACAGCTAGTTTAATGCTAGCGCTGACAATGTCCTCACTAAAGAGTTAAATACACAGTGCACAAAGGTTCGGGTCGGGAACCTTTCTGGCTCTCAGATGTGGATCAGACACGGTTCTCCTACGTGGTGTTTGAACAAGAACACACCCAGTACCTGTGGACGTACCATCACACACTGTCTCTATGGCAACAACACAACTACATCACTGCTCAGGTGTGTGTGTGTGTTACTGAAACAACAGCATCAATGACAATCACATATCTGCTCCTAACCAGCTAATAAACACACAGTCCCGGTTCCAGTTCACCACCACCACTAACTACTACCACCACTAACTAACCCTAACCACTGCAGCCGCCGGTGAGCCTGTCTGCTCTAACCTAACACACACACACACACACACACACACACACACCTCTCAGTACCAGTGTTTAAAGACACCTACCTTGGTAGAAACCCTACACCCCCCTGCGACCCCCTCCCCCACCCAACGACTGCTTGTAGCACATGGAGAGAGAGAGTGGTGTGTGTGTGTGTGTGTGTGTGTGTGTGTGTGTGTGTATCTGAGAGTATCTTACCATGCTGTGTGCAGTGTGTCAGTATAATCCAGTATGAGTCCATTGTCTCTCTCTCTGTCTGTCTGTCTGTCTCTCTCTCTGTCTGTCTGTCTGTCTCTCTCTCTGTCTGTCTGTCTCTCTCTCTGTGTGTGTGTCTGTCTCTCTGGTCCCGTCAGCTCTGACTCTGCTGTAACAGTTGAGCCTCTAACATGTTAAGCCCCGCCCCCAGCTGTCAGTCATCCCTGCCTGGCTCCTCCCCTCTGTGTCTCTGTGTCTCCCCCTGCTGGCAGTGCTGTGTCCTACAGAGGTTGACACTGCTGTACTGTAGCATACATATATTTATATCTGCTATATACTGTCATATGATAATGTATATTCCCCACACTCTTATTATATTGTTCTATTTTCTTAATATATTGTTGTTAGAAATTGTAATCTAATCTCTAACTATTATTATTATTATTATTATTATTATTATATTATTATTATATCTATTTATGAATGTCTGTGAGCACCTGAAGCAACTGTAACAAAACAAATGTCCCCCGAGGGATCAATAAAGTGGTCGAGACAGACGACCACCCACCTAGAGCCGGAGGATCTGTCCTAGGTTTTCCTTGCCCTTGTCTCCAATCCATAAAGATACAGTGTATACTGATTAATAATCCATAAAGATACAGTGTATACTGATTAATAATCCATAAAGATACAGTGTATACTGATCAATATCATCCATAAAGATACAGTGTATACTGATTAATAATCCATAAAGATACAGTGTATTCTGATCAATAATCCATAAAGATACAGTGTATTCTGATCAATAATCCATAAAGATACAGTGTATACTGATCAATATCATCCATAAAATACAGTGTTCTGACAAATCATCCATAAAGATACAGTGTATACTGATTAATAATCCATAAAGATACAGTGTATACTGATCAATAACCAAAAGAACAGTGTATACGATCAATATCATCCATAAAGAACAGTGTATACGATCAATAATCCATAAAGATACAGTGTAACGAATATCATCCAAAAAACAGTGTATTCTGATCAATAATCCATAAAGATACAGTGTATTCTGATCAATAATCAATAAAAGGCAGACACCCTCTCCACTGGGTCAGCCCGTATAGATCAGGGTGTACAAACTGCGACATTCTGTATAATATAATGAATATGGCTCACACACTGAACTTGTGCTTGACTGTATTGTACTTCTTAGTTTGAACACTAGGTGGAGCTACTGTCTTTAACTCGACAGCTTCTCTACAACACAGGAAACAGAATTAATCAAAGAAGTTTGAGTTTTGCCTCACGAGACAAAAAACGCAAGCTAGCGAGTGTAGAACATTTCAGACACGGTGGGCAAATGAAGTTGAAGGCAGTGACGAGAGTACAATGTACGAAGACACTGTCGTATATATCATATATGAATCCACACACCCAGCCTCTACTGGGGCCGAGAACACGGTTCAACAACCAGCATCCTCTACTGGGGCCGAGAACACGGTTCAACAACCAGCAGCCTCTACTGGGGCCGAGAACACGGTTCAACAACCAGCATCCTCTACTGGGGCCGAGAACACGGTTCAACAACCAGCATCCTCTACTGGGGCCGAGAACACGGTTCAACAACCAGCATCCTCTACTGGGGCCGAGAACACGGTTCAACAACCAGCATCCTCTACTGGGGCCGAGAAACACGGTTCAACAACCAGCATCCTCTACTGGGGCCGAGAACACACGGTTCAACAACCAGCATCCTCTACTGGGGCCGAGAACACGGTTCAACAACCAGCATCCTCTACTGGGGCCGAGAACACGGTTCAACAACCAGCATCCTCTACTGGGGCCGAGAACACGGTTCAACAACCAGCATCCTCTACTGGGGCCGAGAACACGGTTCAACAACCAGCATCCTCTACTGGGGCCGAGAACACGGTTCAACAACCAGCATCCTCTACTGGGGCCGAGAACACACGGTTCAACAACCAGCAGCCTCTACTGGGGCCGAGAACACACGGTTCAACAACCAGCATCCTCTACTGGGGCCGAGAACACACGGTTCAACAACCAGCATCCTCTACTGGGGCCGAGAACACGGTTCAACAACCAGCATCCTCTACTGGGGCCGAGAACACGGTTCAACAACCAGCATCCTCTACTGGGGCCGAGAACACACGGTTCAACAACCAGCATCCTCTACTGGGGCCGAGAACACGGTTCAACAACCAGCATCCTCTACTGGGGCCGAGAACACGGTTCAACAACCAGCATCCTCTACTGGGGCCGAGAACACGGTTCAACAACCAGCAGCCTCTACTGGGGCCGAGAACACACGGTTCAACAACCAGCAGCCTCTACTGGGGCCGAGAACACACGGTTCAACAACCAGCATCCTCTACTGGGGCCGAGAACACGGTTCAACAACCAGCACCCTCTACTGGGGCCGAGAACACGGTTCAACAACCAGCAGCCTCTACTGGGGCCGAGAACACACGGTTCAACAACCAGCATCCTCTACTGGGGCCGAGAACACGGTTCAACAACCAGCACCCTCTACTGGGGCCGAGAACACACGGTTCAACAACCAGCATCCTCTACTGGGGCCGAGAACACGGTTCAACAACCAGCATCCTCTACTGGGGCCGAGAACACGGTTCAACAACCAGCACCCTCTACTGGGGCCGAGAACACACGGTTCAACAACCAGCATCCTCTACTGGGGCCGAGAACACGGTTCAACAACCAGCATCCTCTACTGGGGCCGAGAACACGGTTCAACAACCAGCAGCCTCTACTGGGGCCGAGAACACACGGTTCAACAACCAGCATCCTCTACTGGGGCCGAGAACACACGGTTCAACAACCAGCATCCTCTACTGGGGCCGAGAACACGGTTCAACAACCAGCATCCTCTACTGGGGCCGAGAACACACGGTTCAACAACCAGCATCCTCTACTGGGGCCGAGAACACGGTTCAACAACCAGCAGCCTCTACTGGGGCCGAGAACACGGTTCAACAACCAGCAGCCTCTACTGGGGCCGAGAACACGGTTCAACAACCAGCAGCCTCTACTGGGGCCGAGAACACGGTTCAACAACCAGCAGCCTCTACTGGGGCCGAGAACACGGTTCAACAACCAGCATCCTCTACTGGGGCCGAGAACACGGTTCAACAACCAGCATCCTCTACTGGGGCCGAGAACACACGGTTCAACAACCAGCAGCCTCTACTGGGGCCGAGAACACACGGTTCAACAACCAGCAGCCTCTACTGGGGCCGAGAACACGGTTCAACAACCAGCATCCTCTACTGGGGCCGAGAACACACGGTTCAACAACCAGCATCCTCTACTGGGGCCGAGAACACGGTTCAACAACCAGCATCCTCTACTGGGGCCGAGAACACACGGTTCAACAACCAGCATCCTCTACTGGGGCCGAGAACACGGTTCAACAACCAGCAGCCTCTACTGGGGCCGAGAACACGGTTCAACAACCAGCATCCTCTACTGGGGCCGAGAACACGGTTCAACAACCAGCATCCTCTACTGGGGCCGAGAACACGGTTCAACAACCAGCATCCTCTCTGTAACGTAGCGTTAGCTCTCTGTAGCTCTCTGTAGCGTAGCGTTAGCTCTCTGTAGCTCTCTGTAGCGTAGCGTTAGCTCTCTGTAGCGTAGCGTTAGCTCTCTGTAGCTCTGTGTAACGTAGCGTTAGCTCTCTGTAGCTCTCTGTAGTGTAGCGTTAGCTCTCTGTAGCGTAGCGTTAGCTCTCTGTAGCGTAGCGTTAGCTCTCTGTAGCTCTCTGTAACGTAACGTTAGCTCTCTGTAACGTAGCGTTAGCTCTCTGTAGCGTAGTGTTAGCCTCGTAGCTCTCTGTAACGTAGCGTTAGCTCTCTGTAACGTAGCGTTAGCTCTCTGTAGCATAGCATTAGCTCTCTGTAGCATAGCGTTAGCTCTCTGTAGCTCTCTGTAGCATAGCGTTAGCTCTCTGTAGCGTAGCGTTAGCTCTCTGTAGCTCTGTGTAACGTAGCGTTAGCTCTCTGTAACGTAGCGTTAGCTCTCTGTAGCGTAGCGTTAGCTCTCTGTAGCGTAGCGTTAGCTCTCTGTAGCTCTGTGTAACGTAGCGTTAGCTCTCTGTAACGTAGCGTTAGCTCTCTGTAGCGTAGCGTTAGCTCTCTGTAACGTAGCGTTAGCTCTCTGTAGCTCTGTGTAACGTAGCGTTAGCTCTCTGTAGCTCTCTGTAGCGTAGCGTTAGCTCTCTGTAGCGTAGCGTTAGCTCTCTGTAGCTCTGTGTAACGTAGCGTTAGCTCTCTGTAGCTCTCTGTAGTGTAGCGTTAGCTCTCTGTAGCGTAGCGTTAGCTCTCTGTAGCGTAGCGTTAGCTCTCTGTAGCTCTCTGTAACGTAACGTTAGCTCTCTGTAACGTAGCGTTAGCTCTCTGTAGCGTAGCGTTAGCTCTCTGTAGCTCTCTGTAACGTAGCGTTAGCTCTCTGTAACGTAGCGTTAGCTCTCTGTACATAGCATTAGCTCTCGTAGCATAGCGTTAGCTCTCTGTAACGTAGCGTTAGCTCTCTGTAGCGTAGCGTTAGCTCTCTGTAGCGTAGCGTTAGCTCTCTGTAGCTCTGTGTAAGTAGCGTTAGCTCTGTAACGTAGCGTTAGCTCTCTGTAGCGTAGCGTTAGCTCTCTGTAACGTAGCGTTAGCTCTCGTAGCTCTGTGTAACGTAGCGTTAGCTCTCTGTAGCTCTCGTAGCGTAGCGTTAGCTCTCTGTAACGTAGCGTTAGCTCTCTGTAGCTCTGTGTAACGTAGCGTTAGCTCTCTGTAGCTCTCTGTAGTGTAGCGTTAGCTCTCTGTAGCGTAGCGTTAGCTCTCTGTAGCGTAGCGTTAGCTCTCTGTAGCTCTCTGTAACGTAACGTTAGCTCTCTGTAACGTAGCGTTAGCTCTCTGTAGCGTAGCGTTAGCTCTCTGTAGCTCTCTGTAACGTAGCGTTAGCTCTCTGTAACGTAGCGTTAGCTCTCTGTAGCATAGCATTAGCTCTCTGTAGCATAGCGTTAGCTCTCTGTAGCTCTCTGTAGCGTAGCGTTAGCTCTCTGTAGCTCTGTGTAACGTAGCGTTAGCTCTCTGTAGCTCTCTGTAGTGTAGCGTTAGCTCTCTGTAGCGTAGCGTTAGCTC